TCTGTTGCTGACAGAACATGATGATCTCAAGCCCTGCGAGGTCACTCCCTCTATACTCTCCAAAAGGACTCCTGTGATTGGCGTGTTCCAATCACTCCCACAGATAGACTTCTGTTGATGGTAGACCAGGTTCGATATGGCGAGATAAAGATCAAGAACAGATTCTGATCGTTAACTATGATCATATTTACATATCCTAACCTGGTGCCATGTATCTGATTGTATCTGTGTCAATATCCGTTATTTATATGCGTGCATCTATCTATCAACTCCATGTGGTGTTATATATTTAATATATATATATATAATAGATCTATATATGCCTCCAACCGAATAGCCTCCTTCCCCCGTTCGTAGCGATGCCAGTTTCGCCCCGTTCGTAGCGTTCGATCGCTCCGAGTGTGGTGCAATGCGTCTCCCAGCCACGATGACCACCGCCCCCCGTCTCACCCGACCTGAAGACCCTCCGGCGCCGCAGACCTGGCGGCGGACGCAGTTGTGTCGGGACGCTTGCGTCCCGGTGAGTTCCGTTCGCGGCGCGTCTGATCGCTGAGCTTTTGGAAAACCAGGCTTTTGGAAAACCAAAACATACAGCTCAGCTCAAAATGTCTGATGATTCTGGCAGCTGGAATCGAGTGATTTCTCAGAAAGTCCTTATTACGTGAGACGATTGGTGGGAGTTCATGGCACAGCTTGGAATTAATTTCTCAGTCCCAAAAACTCCCCAAAAAAGTGAATCTTCCAAGAGAGCGTCTGACTCAGCATGTTCTTTTCAGTTCATAACACCTTCTGCAGTTCATCAATTCGATCGATGGTATAAACGTTTACCAAGTCACATCAAGTGACCTACTGAAAGAGGAAAATCCAATGTGGAGATTCTAACCTTGGCTGCTCCAACACGGATCTTCCCCCCTTTTCACCGCCCCTCCTCAAGCGGCAGCGCGCCTCGAATCGTCCTCCACGGCACTCACAGCCGTCGGAGCCTGCGATGTTCCGGTGGCGAGAGCGCGCGAACCGCGCGCGCGCAGTGATTGGATGTCCGATGTGAAAATACATTGGCAGGCAAAAATGGTTCGTGTGCAAGAGTGCACTTGGGTGTGTACATGTTTTGTACATGGTAGTACTATCCTTAATTGAATGTGTTTGATGGAGGGTTACTAATGTTGAACAAAGATCCATCGGAACAGAAGAGTTGGGGATCACGTGCTTCATCAAAATAGGTTGGTCCAATGCTTCATGGTTGCCACCCGGTTTGAGATGAAGAAATTGAGACAAATGATGTCCAAATTTGTCACCTCAGCCTGTAAGTTGGATCGACTGGGCTGAGGTGCCCAGTAAACAACCTCGAGAGCGGATGTTGAGTGCAATTCCTGAGTGCTACACACTTGAGACACCTGCCGTTAGTTACCACACCTCTCACCTCCACATAAGCACAAGTTGTACGCAGTCTGCCACCTCACAGTCTCGCATGGTGTTCACATAGGTTCAGGCACATGTATATAGAAATATATATCTTGATATGTCATGTTCAGGTGAGCCCGGTGTGGCGAACCTGCGCTTGCAGTGTAATATTTACATATATATATATA